ATGTATAATTTGGTTGTGTTTATTTCCAAGCTATTCCGAATATTAATGACGATCATGATCATTCTTCCACTCATGCACAACGACGACCAGGACGAAGAACAAGGCCGCCAGAGACCAAGGCCACTATCAAGGTGAAGGCCGTAGTCACTACTACTATGGCCTGGATTGTGCGACAGAGGGGTTGGATGAGGCGGAATGGTGCGTAACTACTGTAAACGCCAATCTCAATTTCTAAATTGCTGTATCAGATTGGTCCAACGCTGTCAGTAGTGGTCTTATCGGGCGCCATGATCTAAAAATGTGCCGACAGCCGTCCGATCACGTCAACGCTGGATATGTTCAAGGTTTCGCACTCGAGCTCGACGCAAACATCTACAGTGGATCCACTGCCCTCCCGATTGGTCCCACGACGAAGTCGCATCACCTCTTGGACTGTGCGTCCTTCTTCCATTCAGTATGGATACCGAAAGTTTACGAAATCTAACAGGTGCTTTCGAGCAATTCGAACAGAAAATGCTTACATGGACCTACATCGCTTTTTCCAGTGTGTATCGACCAAGCTTGCGCCCTTGTTGCAACGATTAAGGCACATGCCCTTCCTGGATTTCTCCGAAATCGTTTCAACGGTTTACTGACCAAATTGGAAGACCAAAAACAGGTGAAGGTTCTTCTTCCCGAACGCGCTGCCGTGCAGGTCTTTCGTCGGCTGCGGCTGAATGGCTGCGTATCGTCCAGCACCAGATGGCAACGATGCAGACAATGATACCGAGGCACGCTCTTCACTCGAGTGTGCACGTCCTCCTCCTCTTCCCCTTCCTTCTTCTTTCAAGACAGAAGCAATGTTCCACGTTCGTTGTACATTCGAGAACAAAGGCGCTATACACGACGATTCGGAGGCAAGTGTTCCACTTTTTTTCAAGGGTGCGCTCAATCTTACAGAATATTAGACTACCTCACAACGTTACCTCAATGAACCCTGGTCTTGTGGTTTTGCCAGGGAATAAAACTTTCAAATTTCTTCAAGCCGACAAATGTGCCAACATACTCCATTCTTCGGTTCGACAAGGGCAGAAACGAGAGCTTACACATGAATTGTGACGAAGCCGTAGAGTCGCTAGCCTTGGCATGGTTACTTCGATCTGGTATGTTTTGCCAACCTCCTTTCTAGCCGTATTGCTCAAAGTTCTTTAGCGCCTCCTGAAATTGGTGAACTCATCGGAACGCGAACATTCGAAGCCCTTTCCATCCAATTCTATTGGGTCCATTTCAGTTTTTGCAGCGCCAATCCTTGACTGCTGATCGTTAACCTGACTGCTACATCATATACGATGCACTCTAATTTATCAGTCTTCAGGTTGGGGTCAAGCCTACCTTTGCATTGTGTTTTTATCGTATCGGAGTCAACATGCTTCTCTTGCGGATACGTCAATACTAGGAGGAATGGCTCTGCCGCGGAGCGCGTGTACAGTCCGTGTTAACATTGCCTCATGCAACGACGACCAGAGCGAAGACCAAGGTGACCAAAGATCAACACCACTATCAAAGCAAGAACTGCCATCGCCAAGGCTGTTGCAACGAACAACGGCTTCGTGGCACATGCCCTCCGTGAATCTCTCCGAAATCGTTTCTATGGTTTATTGACCAACTGGAAGACAAAATCCAGGCGGAGGATCCCAGCAGAGGCCCAATTTGTCTAGAAGCTGGCGGACTACTTCAATGCTGAGATCGTGCTTGGGACCCTCCGGAATTGTGACGAAACCACTTAATGGCTTGGCTACATTTACCCGTGCGTGTGTACCTTCCTTTTCTCCTCTTCTCCCGAATCTAACATTTGTTTGTAGCTTTATTCGCATCGAAGCGGGCTGGAGAGTCGAAGACGCTGATGCAGAGGCTGAATCCGGATCGAAGCCAAAAGGCGGGTAGGCGTGGATTACCAAGAGGAGGATGTCCTCACGCTGCTGCTGTAAATTCATGGCCTTTTAGGGTTTGTCCTCGTCGCTGACCTGGTCTTTGTGCAGCAATCCGTGGGCGGTGTGTACTGATTAACTGCTTCCTTAAGACAGCTCTCGACCCTTTTTGTGGGTACTATTTGTCCTCCCATTGTTTCGTCGCTAACAATGCCCGTCCCGTAATACAGGAGAATGCTGTCGTTCCCCATGGTCTCATCGGTCATTCGGGCGACGCAAGACGTTGAAAGCGTCACCTATCGTCCACAGACCGGGGAAACACGCGAAGTCTACGAACTTATTTTTTCCTCTGTGCATACTGCGCTTGGAGTGCTGCCGATTCCACGCTCGACACTCTCAAAAACAAGGGGACGAAGAGTTTTGACAAAAAGAAGGATATTGAGCCATTCCGAGCGAGCAGCTCTCACAGCTCGTCAATCTTTCGAAGAAATTTACGAATTACAACGCTGAAGACGAGGCTATGGTCAATCCAGACATGGAAAAGCGAGATCGATGAGGAAGTTGGTGTGGCTGTCGTCTTCGACGAGGATTAGCAGGAGGAAGAGCCGAAGTGCACGTTGAAAGCTGAATTCCTTTATGCGGACACATTCAGTTCTCATGAGATTGCGGCCGTTCGGCGTGCATTTGGAGCACGATTAAAATCACTCCGAAGGTGCATGAACGTCGCGAGAATGTCGCACAGCGATTAGTTGGATCTCCTAGTGAAAACCAGGAGAGACGAGAGAAGGCACACTGTGAGTTATGCTCTCATTTCGATGCCAATGGGCACTCACTTGCGGACAATTGGCAGCTCTTTTCCAGACGTATCAATGCAGCTATTGACTTGCCCGAACTCGCCGGAGAGCATGTTCATATCCTTCAACGCCTTGGCGTGGATGGGATGAGTGCAGACGAGTCGGACCATGAACTCACTAGGACCGGGATTCCTCAATTCCGCATACGTAAGAAATATGAGCGGCTTGGGGTAGGGCTTCGCAAATTCGATGCTTTACATCGCTTTCGTCGCTTCGCACCGATTAGGCGTGCTGGACAAGGTGCTGAACCTCGTGTTCGGCTCATTTTCAATGTATCCTCCACTCGCCCTCCCAATGCGTATAATGCAAATTGGCTCCAACGTCTTCCTTCATGGGGAGCAACTGGATTTGATGCTCGGAGTTACTGTTTTGAGTTCAACCCCCAAGCAGAGCAGTGAGTCTCGCCTCTTTTGTGGTTAAAGATGTACTAAGGACATGCAGTGTTGTCTTGGAAAACAGTGGCTGGCTAGATACCATTGGTAGCCGCTACCCTTGAACACCATCATTGATCGTGGTATGCACGATTTATTGTAGATAAACGTTACAAAAGACCTGTCATATACTCTCCACAAGGATTACAATCGATCATGTATGCGTGTTGTGTATGAAGCGGTGTAATTAGTTATGGTGGGGACGTATTCAGTATTTGTAGCTATCAACAAAGAACAGCGTAAAAGTCATTGTCAACACGGACGCCTAGAGCACTGAGATTTCGAGTGCACTTGATGCCGAGAGAAAGTTCGAGGACATCCTGGTAGCAAGAGGGAAGTATAGCCACTCTAGCAGATTGTCTTTGATGACCACCTCCCAGACTGGGAACATTGACAGACGTCAGCTTGCAATTCGTTGATCTATTTTTCGTAGTTTGTGAATCAGTATCGCGAGTTGATTGGGAGAGAGGGATGCGAGGACGATACGTACTCGAGACGGCTCAAAAGAATGATCATTCATCGAGATTTGGCCCACTGCCATCGTGTGTTCGAAGAAGGTCGCATGATGATCGATGACCTTCCCTCCAAATGAGGGCATTCACGAACATCAGCCCCCTCAGAAGACAAAGCAGCAGTCAAGGTCTGGTACGAGTTAACAAAGATTGTGACATCTCGCCTGAAATGACGTTAGCTTCTATAGCACGGAAGGCATCATGATCCTCACACTTGGGCAGGCAGGGGCCGTCGCCCAGATGGTGTTAGTTTCGTAAGATGTTTGAGAGACAAGGGTACACCGCAAAACGCTGTAGGTCTGATTCCTAGATAAGCTTACTCCCTGCACTTGATGAGATGACATCGCCTGGAAGGGAATTAAGATTTTAGACTCAAGCGCCATCCTCCTGTCGATAGTCGCTCTGGCACTGGGCCAGCGGCTTGCTTAGCATGCGAAAAGTAAACAGAAAAGGAAGGTTTGCGTACAGGTAAGTGCAGCAAGCTACTACCAAACGGACGGATGGCGAAACCGAATGACAGACTGTGTTTCAGATCACACCGTGAGTTCTTTGGTAAAGCGAAAACGAGAGTCCTGATCCTCCGTAGATAGTCGAGCTTGATCATGAGTGCGGGACTTTGAACCTAGGAACACGAGGGTTAGAGCCCGTCCATTAGCACCTCAGTGTGGAAGGACGATGTACTGGGTCGGGTGGCAAGAGGACAATGATGGAACTATCTCTTTAGTAGACGAACCTGCGAAACGAACAATGACAGGTTTTCTTTGGGTTTACTGGAAGTTGAAATCGTAGCTTCAGAAACAAACATGATCAAACAATTCGGTGTGAAGAGCAAGACCGAAGAGTTCATCGAGGTAACCTCAGAGTTAAGCGCGCCCTCGAGTGAAAAAAAGTCAAGACCAAGACAGACGTGGAGTGCACAACGAACGCGGACGGCAGCGTGTTCGGACAGCCGAACCCTCACCTGGCTTTGGTCTTCCAATTTCCGTCAGTAAGCCATAGAGGCGATTTCGGAGAGATTCACGCAGGGCATGTGCCGCGAAGCATACGCAGTTGATCGTTGCAAGAAGGGTGCAGCCTTGGCAATGGCAGTTCTTGCTAGAGTTCTCTTGCGATCTTCAAAACGGTATGTAAGTTGGCCAGGTCAGAAAGATGAGAAAGCGATGTCTGTACTTGTAAGCATTTTCCGCTAGAATGGTCCGAAAGCACCTGTCAAACGTGAAGTTTCGGTATCCACACTGAATGGAGGAAAGGCGCACGATCCAAAAGGTCAACTAATAGATACGACTCCTCGTGGGGCCGATCGCTTCGTAGATGTTCCAGCTTGTGTGCCAGAGAAGCCCCAAAACAGCATAGGTCTGATTCTTTGGATATGAGCAGCCGTAGATGACCATGCCGTCAAGCTCGAGCTGCGAGTTGCACACTTGCAGCAGTACATTGCCTTCACGTGGATGGGTGCCCTCTCGGGTGACTGCACTGATTGAACTTGAGAGAACATCTCAATGAGGCCTGCTGAATATGTATAAATGAGGCTGAAACCTTGAACAACTCCAGCGTTGACGGAATCGGACGTTAACAGAATGAGCTATGTCGGCACATTTTTAGACCATGGCGCCTGGTACTAGCAGCGTTGGACCACCCTAAAAAATAGGATTGACGTCTACTTCTCTGTACGGTTGCACAATACGCACCTTTCCGTCTCATCCCAAGAGTTTTGCAAGGACAAAATAAGTTCCCTTTCATTCAATCCAGGTTATAGTAGATAGTGAGTGGCCTTGTTCTTCGCAGGCGGCAGCAGTACAGTTCTAATAAGGTAGCTTCGGAAATAAACACAACCAAATAATATACACCTCCCTTCACGATCGGTCCAAACACAAACTTTACAGGCGCTCCGCGGCTGGGCTGTTCCTCCGATCGTCTCATGGGGGATCGAAGCAAGACCGAAACTATGTATTTATGTATGTATGCTAAGTCTACGCCAAGTTCTGTACGCTTGACAGAGGTGATATTCATCATTTAGAACTAGCCTGGAGTATTGAAGGATAATCCATGCTGCGGCCAAATATGCGACCAGGATCAACAACGAACATCCAGAATGGCGCAAGGTCGTGAACGTACTCTTGATCACGTGTCGGATGATCCGAGCTGTTGGTGGATCTTGCTGGGGATTGTCTAACCTCAAACGTGAGTCGTCTGAGAAGAACTCAATGAGAAAGCCTCAACGTTTTCGCGAAATAATGTGACAAATGTTGGTGGGCTCTTCGCCGTGGACGGCAGCCGAAGGTTTCGTATTTTCTTCCACTTCCGCTGAATGCTGACACACTGGAGCCTCCGTTGTAGCCTCCCGTCGAGTGTTGTCCGATAAGGCATCGAGAGTCTTCGGGACGGGATATATTTTGTCCAGAACTGCATGGATCGCGGCTATCGACTCCGCTTGAGCATCGAGTCTTTCTTCAACCTGTCTTCCCACGTCTGGAGTAGCATTAGAGGGGGGCACTTGGAGCTAAATCAACTAACTCGCCGGCTGGCATTCCGACCGGTATGTAAGGCGTGCTGTCCTGTGTATTGACCAACAGTGTTACATTCTCCAGGTCCGCTCTGAAGCATTGCAATTCGCCATTGAGTAATTCGAGTGCCTGAAAAATTGGGGGAAGAGCCTCATCCACGTAGCTCTGCACGACATCCATTACAGATGGCTGCCCCTGTTTCTGCGTGTAATCACCAACATACATGTCAGTCCTCCTTCAAAAGACTTCAAAAAGCTCTCACCTGCTCATCACGGTCAACCGACAAGTGCATCTCTATCCATGATAAAAATCAAAGTCAGATTACCCGCGGGCATGCGAGGATAGGAGGCATACCGGGTTGTGATTTCAGAATCCGTTCCATTTGTTCGACTCTATCCTCAAGATTGACCTAAAAAAATAAATAGGAGCTCGACAAGTCGGTTATGCTGGACACACATAATTCGCTTTGGCATCGAAATTTGACTTCATCCCACCTGCCTTTTTGATTTTGTGAGCAGCTGGAGATGAAGAGGCGGCCGTTATTTAACAAAGTGAAAGTTCAAACGTAACATGATTTGAGAACCTTGAAAGTTTTCTAAACCAGAATTTTCCACGTGCGCTGGATATTTCTCCAGATCATTCTGCAATTTATGACAAGACGTAATTCAGCCGCTCCATATATCTAGCGTTTTTAACGTACGGTGCAACGGAAGGTCGGCGTAAGTATCTGGCCATGGTCGCCTTATGATATGAATAAGAATCAAATCTCTTTACGGCCATCTAGATGGAGCATACCCGGTTGAAACTGCAGGATTCGTTCAATTTGCTGGACTCGAGCCTCAAGATTACCGGGCTGAACAAAAGTTACTTAAATAGCAGGTCCCCGTCGAGAGACGTTGGAACACACATCGTTTGGTTCGATATCTGGTTTCTTCCCCCTTGCCTGTTTGATGACGGGAGTCCCTAAAAATCGGTTACAGGCACTTGTCACTCAACAATAATGTAAGCATGAAGAACAAACTTTGACTGTTTTCCCATACAGCGGCTTCCACGTGCGTTAGGTATTTCTCCAGATTGTCCTGTGATCAGCCATGACGCAGCCACTCCATATTTTAGCCAGTGCTGATTTTACATACACATCGTTGGATTGCAGCGGACGCCTGTTGCGCTACTATCATAACCGACTGCTTGATGTTATTGCTCTCTTCGTCTTGTTTAGCGTCCTCCTCCCGTAGATTGTCGTAGGCCTGGTCGACGTGATCCCTAATATCCACAAGGATACGTGCTTTGAAACTCTCGTCTATGACGATAGCATGTCAGGTTGCCTCAAAGCAAATATATATATATAATGAGGCAAAGAATGGTAACTCACAGAGTGCAGAATCCATGATTGAGAGAGGGGAGAAAGTCCGAATAGCTAACAAAGCGAAAGAGGTCTAATCGTGACAAAGGAGAACGGTGCGTCGCGAGTGGGTAACAGAAACGTGCTTTGTGACAACCACGTCTCGTTTATCTTCAAGGCCTCCCGCAGGCACTGTAAATATTATGTCGATCGCACGCAGAAAAGTACAGCAAAAGTCCTCGCATTGATGCCAGAGGTAATCATCATGGGCCGAGCTCCTTAACCTGGCACATCGTCAAGAGGTGAGCGTTCGACGACAACCTAGATATCTGGTTAGCAATCAGCAGTCAATCGTCAGTGATTGGCGAATGACAAAGCCTTGACCCTTGAAGCCTCGTGTCAGTTCTCGTGGTGAGATCTTTGTTTCACGAAATCTCAGGCACCGGCAGGTTGGATGTCAAGTGACGCAAGGGTAATTGGCGTCTCTGAAAGAAATTCAAACAATATCAGAAGTCGCCAAGAAATGTAATCAATCAGGAGGCGAATGTTACGCTTCAGCAGTGTAAGTTCGTCGTGCAAAAACCCATGCGTGATTGTCTCCGCGTCCAGCTTCTCGCGAGCCGTACCGAGCTAACGACGTAGATCATATCTCTCTCTGAGTGCATCTCTTGTCCCGCATTGATGCCAGAGGTAATCATCATGGGCCGAGCTCCATAACCTGGCACATCGTCAAGAGGTGAGCGTTCGACGACAACCTAGATATCTGGTTAGCAATCAGCAGTCAATCGTCAGCGATTGGCGAATGACAAAGCCTTGACCCTTGAAGCCTCGTGTCAGTTCTCGTGGTGAGATCTTTGTTTCACGAAATCTCAGGCACCGGCAGGTTGGATGTCAAGTGACGCAAGGGAGCGCAAGGGTAATTGATAGCCTCATGAGGGATAATAAAGAGCGACCTTAGTAGTCATAAGTATACCTGAAGACTTAGAAGTTAGAGGGCAACATAAGTATATGATGTAGCAGCCACTGGTTAACAATCACCAGTCATAGATTGGCGTTGCAAAAAAAGGCAATGGAGTAAAGAGAATTGGGTGGCATGGGCTTCATCTCTCATGAGACGATCAGAAGAACAGCTCCGCCGCGGAGCGCCTATGAAGTTTCGTGTTTGGTATGGAATGAGGTCGGAGGAAGGAGGTAAGTATTATTTGGTTGTGTTTATTTCCAAAGCCAATCCACAATGACTAGACCCGCCCCTCGGCGAACTCTGTACATGACACTAGCTACATCTTCTATTTTTTCGTACGCAACGACGACCAGGACGAAAATTAAGGCCACCAATGACCAAGGCCACTATTAAGGACAAGGCCGCGGTTACGATCATGGCCTGGACCGAATCTTATATCTGCGACGGAGGGCTTATCTATCACAGTGGTGCATGCTGTTCATAACGATCTTGTCGGGTGGCTTGTCCTAAGAATGTGTTCATTGCAAAGCTAATTGCGATCATAGTTTCCACCGACCGAATCTTGTAGTGCCGACGGAGGGGTTACCTCGTCCTTGCGGAACTCTTGGGATCAGATGGAAAGGTGCGTTTTGCACAACCGTAGAGAGAACGAAACGCTAATTTCATCTAGTGGTCCAACGCTGTTCATAAATAAAGGAATTGCGAAGCCGGCGTTCGATGTCGAAGGTGAAGGTATGGCACGATTCAGCGCATGCAAGTCAAAGTTGAGGGAGCGCGGAAAGTAGAGAGAGTAGTGAGAGATGTGCGACGAGAGTTACATAACGTTTGTCCGGCATTTTATTTGACGGACATGAATGGCTGATGTGGGTCTGTTCAGGTTGCTGCCCCTGCTTGAAAAAAAATGTCCCACTATTGTCTCCTTGCCACCCGACCCAGTGCATCGTGATTCTCGCCCGTACTCTACTCATGAATGGGCTTCTGCTCACAACAGCCCCAACCCTCCAGAGTTCTCCCGGCGGCGTCGCAGACCTCGGCATGCAACTCCGCGCTCCTCGCTTTCCCTCTATCGCAATGGGGGCCCGCCAAAAGTGAATGACAGGAATGTTTCAACATTGTTCGTTATCCCCCAATCCCCCCCCTGTACGCCGTTTTTGCTGACATGCACCGCGTAGATCAAGTCGGTGCCCAGCCGATTGACCGACCTTGTAGCATGACGACTCTGCACATGCGACATGATGAGCCGATAGTAACGAAGAAGCAGGCTGGAGAGCTGAAGACGCTGATGCAGCAGCTGATCCCGGATTGCAGCCAAAAGGTGGAAAATGGCGTCGTGGCGTCGGAGCTTTCACCGATCTTCCAAGATCAGTGCTGAAATAGTACATCTCTCAGCAACCGGTGTCTTGTTTTCATTCACTTTATCAAAAGATTACGATGACCGCAATGTTCTCAAGGGACAAGCCCATCAAGAAGGCAGTTACCCAATTTGTCAAACCGAGGGACAGTAATTCGCGAGACTGCGTCCTATTTGACTTTGCCATCCGTAGTCCGTGACTATTCTTCTCAAGACGCACACTCTAAGAGGAGTTCTCCGGGAGCTGCTCTTGCATCGTGTCGTCAGTCGTCTCGGACTTCCCTGGGTTCTGCAAGCCAACCACTCGTCCGATTGGGTCATCCCGTTGAGCGCTGCAGAAGGTCTTCGCTTGCAGGTAATTATGTAAGTAATCAATAGGATCGCAAGACACGATCAACTCTGCCATACTCTGCTCATGTTACTCCAAATCTATATCCTTCAGTCAATCAAAAGCCGTCGACACATGGCGTTGTCGTTGGCTTACGACACAATGTATACCAACAAAACTAAGGTGGATAGAATTTTTGGCATCCGCGATTGGCGGGTTTTAATCCAGTGCGTTCATTTCTCTCGTTTCTTCTCTGTATTTCCGCTTATGGTGGTTATAGTGATTCCCTTCACAATTCGGATCACCGTCCCATGGCAAAAGGTCGGAAGGAAGGCGAGCACTGGACAGCCTGGGCCTTCGACATGAAGTCCAACCGCTCCATCTTCTACCTTCACATGTACAAGGCTGGGCGAGCGGCGAAATTTGGCGCAGATACACGCAAGACATTTCGGGCGTACGAGTACGACCTTCTATGGAGCGGAGAGGTAAGACGCTTTCCTGCATTCCCTTGTTCGAATCTTACCGCCATCTTAGGTGACAGCGAAATAGACATACATACTCTACTACCTTGAGACCGGTCAAGTCAATAAATAGGATGGGATGTTACGCATCATAGTACAGTAATCAGCGGTACCATGCGCTTCAAAAATATTCAAACGGAAAGGTTCTGACAAAAGGTATGTTAATAATGTATCTAACCGCACCCTACAACATACTTACCAACATTTTCGTGAACATCAGCTTTCCCGTCGTGGTTGAGGCTGACGCTGAAGGGCGCTCTGATGAATCTGGTCGGACGCATTGGACAAGGATTCTAGCAAGATGCACGTCCATGTACCTACAGGTCTTAACTCACCACCTACAACCTCACCGTCACCCCACTCAAAACGGCAAATCCGACCTCGCAGACCTCTCTCATTTCAGACGACATCATCGTCATCTGTTCTCGCGAGATATCCACGACTCTCTAGCCTCGTCGCCCTCAGCGCCACAAATACTCCCCCCAAATTCGGATTCCATGCCGTACAAACACGCTACAGAGTACCGGGACTCATCAGACTTCCCCCGCACGTTTTTCAGATCGCTAACAGCGCCTACTACCACATCCTCACCGTCACCCCACTCAAAACGGCAAATCTGGTGCCACCGACCTCGCACAACTTTTTCTGGCATCGTCGCCCATCTCAATTCGTTAGCATTAGCCCAAGGAACGCTAGCCGCCATGACGTTTTGCTCACCTGAAAACTGGTTGTGATTCTGATACGAGACTTGATTCGAGTTCGCATGTTGAGTGAACAAGGTCAAAATCACGCCGATTCAGGATCTGGCCAACTCCGGACGTTGGCTTGCGATGATTCCAGGCCAGATGGCTCCATCCTCTTTCGTTCTTGTTGTTGTTCTCAAAGCAGTCACATTCCGTATAGAATGCTCTTTCCGAGCCGCTGGTCACCCTCCTCTCCCATCCTAGTCATGGTGTTCATGTGGATGCTGTCAACGCCTTCACATGCTTCTCTCCGCCTGCCCCAGACGATTTTGATTCTGATGGACAAACTGCAGCGG